CCCTGGTCAAGCAGCCGAGCCTCCGTGCTACCGCGGACTCCATCTTCTTTTCCAGCGAGGTCTTTAATTGATTGGGTGAGGCCCACCCACATCAGGGAGAACAACATGCTTCCTTGAATCCCCGCAGAAAATTCTAAGCTCACTCAGAAATATCCCAGACACACAATGAGCCAGTAACGGGGATTCCACTGCATAGTGACACTAACACACAAAATTAGTACCACCATAGGAGTTAAGCCAAAAATTAACTAGAAATTCAACGGATCTCACAAACCTCTGAAATATATTCAGATAAGGCATTCCATTCATATTTGTATCTTGCTGGGAGAAGAAATTTACAATGGAAAGATCTGTATTGAGTAGACACAGTACCCGACTGACTAAAACTTTACTAGTGTCTGTTGGCCTTCTCTGGCTTTACAGGCAGGCCACCTTCCTTGGGAAGAAGCAGGGAAGGGTGCCAACGTAGGAAAGCATCACTCCGAGTATCTTAACTCCATGTCTAAGACCAAGAAAGGCAGAGAAGGCAATAGCAAATAGAAAAACTTCAGCGTCTCACAAGGAACCAGGCATTTCGAGCGTCGAGTGCTCATGAAGGTGCTTGTAGTTAGTGCTTGCTTTGCCTTACACACAAGGTTTGTTTCCCTCAGGTAACCCCACACTTCCTGTTAATGGAAAACATAATCTGCGAGCATTCATTCACGGCTCTATCGTAAAGGGGGTCCCCACATTGCAAGTATTTTTTTAAATCGCATCTAATATTCATGAATCGATTCTCATCATAGCCAACATAATTTTCATGAGAGATTAAAAAAGTGTAATTTATTAAAGAAAGTGTAGTTATTTCACAATGAAGCAAAAATGACAGCTTGTTCAAAAGGGTGGAAAAAAAGCCTCTGAATTGCTTTGTAATGTCAGAGTTTATTTGCTACACCAGTGGTCTAATGATATAAAGGGTACCTTGCTTCAGAAACACTTTGAAGTAATCTGTTGCTCTTTGCCATATCTAATGAATGGTGAAAATATGGCTTTAACAGAGAAACCCTGTCTCGTAAAACCAAAAAAAAAAAAAAAAAAAAAAAAGGCATCGATCCTGTCACAAATGAAAGACCAGAAGTGAAAGACCTAAAACTGAACCCAGAAACTTTTAACTTCAGAGCCTCCAAAACTGCTTACACTTTTAGTTAATTGTATATGTTTGCTACTCTCTACAGTTGTTACTTTTTGTGTTGGATACCACTGAATAACAGTATCCTTTAAATTTCCTGTGATAATGAGGTTTTGAGATTGACAAAAAAAGAGAAAAATTTAATGCAAAACAGCAATTTCTGGATTTTTTCTCTTAAGTTCTGAATACGACATTCTCTTTTATAGATTTAAAATATATTCCATTCACGTACACCAGCACTTATTGTCAAGGTATCATGCGCATAGCCCTGAGCAAGATCTGGTATCTGAAGGCAGGATGCACTTCCTTCCCTCATCTCAAGGGCTTTCTCTGTCTTTCTGATGTGTGGAAAGACAAGTTGTTGAGCCCACTGGAAAAAGAAAGAAGAAAAATGATTTAAAAAGAGAGAAGATTCAAACAGTAAATATGATTTGAATGCAACTCATTTGGAAACTTGACAGAAAAAAAGGTCTTGTTGATGACTTGAAAAAAAAATGAACTGTGCTTTCCACTGCCAAGTAACATTATAGACCTGAAGGAGCAAACTGGATGTGATCATCATTTTTGCTTGTGCTAAAAAACCAAAAGTTAAAGCAAGTGTCTTACTAAAGCAAGTTTCTTACTTATGTGATCTTTAAACATAATGGCTTACTGAACGGAACCAAACTCCAAGCGGCTTACACTCTTACTGTAGAGATAAAAAATTTTTGCACCGTGTCATCACAATCCATTTGTAGGCTAGCTTGCTAAGAGAACTGGCAACGATGGAGGACTGGAAAATGATGACACTGCCAGATGGCACCCCAGTATCATACGGTCTGTACCCAGCACCCTCCTTCATTGTAACTATCCAAACAGAAATCAAGGATACTGCTGCTTATGCTCGAAGATCGCAGGTGGTGTGAAGTTCTTGCTTCTTCATGATTTAAGTTGCTGTTCCTGAAAAGTTCTCCTCTTTTCCAGATTTTTTGCTTCTTGTTGAGAATTGTAACATCTGTCAGTAGGAATATAATATCTCGTTTCTAAGATTGCTGCCCCTGAGTCAAAATATCTTAGAAAAAAATACATCTAAAGGAGAAAATACGTATTTCAGCTCATGGTTTGATGATTTTCAGTATGTGATTAATCGGCCCCATATTTGAGCCACTGGTGTGTGAAACAACAGAGCTGATTTTATCATGGCAACAAGGAAAGGGGGAGAGAAGAGGCTGGATGAATGGAGTGAGGAACGGAGGGAGTCAGAGAAAAGGACAAGATGTGGTCCTGAAGGGCATTCTCCTGAGATCTCACTCCATTTTACAGAACCCTACCACCTAAGTTTCTGTCATCTCAACATACGCTGTCCAATTATAAATTCATCCCTTTCCCAAACCCCATTATTTGTTAAGCCTTGTCAAGTAGGAGAGAAAAGCACAACATCAAATGTAGTACTGGAGTAAAAACCCTTGCACCATCTAGTTTAGGACATCAGACAATAGAAAGGGCACAAACCCCTGTGGGGCCACTGTCCTGAAATTGTGGTAATTATCTTTTCCTTCTATAGTCTTGTCAATACCATGCATCATACATATAAGCAGTGGTTTGATTGCCATTACTCTAGCATTTCAAAGTTTTCAAGCATGGGGTACTTTGTTTTTTTGCCTCTCGTGATACATGGATATCCTTTGTAAATTCTGTTTTAAAAACAGAGTGTTTTTAGGAAAAATGTTCACAAAGCTATTTGCTGTTGGGAATATAATTAGCTCTGTGCCATCCAAAACTAGTGTAGTTCTTCTTCACACTCAGACTCAACTTTACATAATGTTATCCCTGGAAATTCACAAGAATACATCTTCCTCTAACGTGGCTGAGTGTTTCTTTAAACATAAGCTAAGGAGTCCTCATGACTTTACTTATATATTTCTAAAGGATAATTACTTATGAAAAGGAACAATCCCGGTTTAGAAGCAATATTTGGAGCTGCATCAAAGGTCATAGAAGAAAACTTACTTATCTGTGGTTAAATGACAGAAGTCTTCTTTACATCCCCCCACCTGATACCTCATTTACTGAGACCCTGCCCCAATATCCCTGAGATATGGGTGCCTGTTATGTCTTTTGGAAGCCTAGTTCCCAACAGCTGTCTGTGCTCACACGCAGCTTGAAAATGCTTTGTCAAGGGCACACCTGTGAGAGACACTTTTCCTCCCAAGCTTGCCAAAGCCCACAAGGTCAGTGGCATCCACATCTTTGTTTAATCTGAATACACACAAAAAGTGCACCTTCTTTCTCCACAGCATCTTCAAGGGATGCTTATATGGTGTGGCATGGCTATTTTCACTATTTGTTTTATATCTAAAATTCTCTATAAGAAGAGGGAAACCGGAATCATCTCTCTCTCTCTCTCTCTCTCTCTCTCTCTCTCTCTCTCTCTCTCTCTCTCTCTCTCTCTCTCTCTCTCTCTCTCTCTCTGTGTGTGTGTGTGTGTGTCTCACTTGTGTGTCCTCATTTAAAGAGTGAGGTAATCAAATGTATATGCTCAAGGTGACTTTAAATTTTTAAATAAAAATGTAATTTGATAATCATGAAATCTGTTTTTTAAAAGCAGTGGCTAATAGGGGCTGGAGAGATAGTTCAGTAATTAGGATCACCACCTGCTGTTCCAAAGGACCCAGCTTCAACTCCCAGTACTCACATGGTGGTGGTTCACAACCATGTCTTAAGGAGTCCTAGGAGACCTGATACTCTCTTCTGGCATCTGCAGGCGTCAGGCATACACGCAAACAAAACACTCATGCACACAAAATAAAATAAAGTATATTATAAAGCCATGGCTGATAATGTCATAGCGGTAGATGTTTGTTTTATGTCCTATTTAAGACACAAAGGATTATCAGAGCCTGCTAATGCATGCACTGATGTGCATGGCTGGCTGAACAGGAGAGATGAGCTCTGGAAGACACTGGTGAGTTCTTCTTGTGCATCATGTTTTGTAAGAGAATAATATGAATTCATCGAATACTTAGTATTTGGTAGGAATCCATAAAACAATAGAATCTTACAAAATATGCTTGCCTCATAATTTTATTACAATCCACCTATAATTTAACTTAACTATTAACTACATGACAACCTTCATTCTTTCACTGGGTATTCAAGGGGTGACCAGTGTTCTGGCAGGAAGAAGGGGGAGAATCCAATACATGGCAGAAAATCTTTGTGGGTGTTGCAAACACTTAGGAGATAGCTCTCTCTCTCTCTCTTCTCTCTCTCTCTCTCTCTCTCTCTCTCTCTGTGTGTGTGTGTGTGTCATACACAAAGACAACTATGATAAAGAAAAATGGAAGGCTCACGATGAGAAAATGTCTCTCAGAGGAAAAAGATGCTATTTTTTTTAAAGGGCAACGTTTATGGCTTTACCTAATTAGATTCTTGCTCTGAGATAATCATTACTCTAGTAGAGATAAAGAGGTTGATTTGAAGACTGTTTTTACATGCATCATATTTGAACATCTGATTACCAACTTGTCAACTGTAAGTCTCAAACTGCATAATCCAAGACTTTTCAGTTCAGATTTTCATAATGTATGGTGAAGAGGATATACACTCCCGCACTTCTGACTGTGATTTGATTTAACCAGTTACTATAAGACACCCATTGTGCTTTGATTGTCTCCCCTGGTAGACTCTCAGCTGTGTGAACAAAGAAGTCCATCTAACCGCATCTAACTCCACTTCCTCAAGCAGCATTTCTGGGAGAGGGCTTCGTGCAAGTCGTTTCTTTTAATGAGCTAGACAAAAGAAGTTTCTACGATGAATGCTAACAACACCACAGTTATTAGCATCTCATATTTCTGATCAGTATTTTTACATTGCATCCTAACTCTTTGGGTGTTAGGTTCTGTTTTTCTTATGACTCACAATGTCCATTCTGCCTTAAAACTGAGAAACTGGGAAACCTCCCAAGAAGCTAACAAAAAACATATCTGATCTTTCCCAGGCACAGAGTTGAATATGGATAAAGTTAGCAGTGAGCATCAAGATGTATGCATCATTTGTGCTGGGCTCTTCATTTCTCTGCGTCATTAGGAGGGTGGCTCCTTTCATACAAAGGAGAAGAAAAAAACTTCCAGAGGAGAGAGACTCCTTCACAAATCAGATCATGCAGATGGACCTACACTGGAAACATCTACCCAGGTGTGAGTTTAGTGCAGTGAAGGTCATGGGCAACTGAGAGCAGAGATCTGTGAATAAAAGCAGGTAAAGTCATTAGTAACTAATAAGAACGTTGTTAAATTTAGAGAAAGTACTGCGTGCTTCAGTTTCATGTTATTCTAAGTAAGTGTGTTAATTGAGAGAACTGTAAGAATGAACATTTATTTGCTGTTTTGTAGAAAGCAAGAGCAAGTCATTTTAAGTACTTACAGAGCTGTGCTTTGAGATTGAAAACTGCTTTCTACAGTGAGTTATTTTTCATGTGAAAAGAAGGAATATAAAAACACATGTTTCTGGAGACAATTCTGTGATAAGAATATTCTCAATGGTACTATAAGTATAAATTCAATAATTAAGTTAACAAACAGCTATCGAGATGGTCCTAGGCAGTGGGAATGGGAAAGTACATTGAATAATTTCCTTTATTGAGGAGAACCAAGCAAAAACGTCGACAGCAGGTAGTAGTTTACATGTTGGAGATATAAACCATCAGTATGAAGCACAGGAAAGACACATATTGAGTAGAAGGAGGGAAGATTTGGTGCCAAGGTCCATGTCTTGAAATGTGGAAGTCCATACTTCAAAGGGATTTTAAGAGACAATGTTACACTAAGTTTACAGGGTTCAGTTTTGGATTTTGTAACTAGAGTTGTGCATTGTGGAGAGCAGAGGTGCCTATTAGGAGACTGTAGCTACAGGGAAGTAGGAACAGAGACCAATGGAGCAAGAATGGACATTGGGGAATTGGTACAACTTAGATGTGTTCTGAGGATGTTGAGTGTAGGGATAAGAAAAAGGCTTGGCCAAGGATGGTTCTATATTTTTCTCCTAGAAATTGATGCATGGGGCCAACACTTCACAGAGGAAGATGCCGGACTGGGTTCAAAGGAATAAACAAGATGTTGTTTGGTTTTATATAAGATCAATATGAAACGCTTATTCAAAATTAATGTGAATTTCCAGTTCAGTAATCAAAAGTTAAAGGAAGTCTAAAGTCCAAGGAGAGAGGCATCCAGATGGAAGAGGAGACCTTGGTATTGTCAAATATAGATGAAATTCAAATTTATAAGACTGTGTGAAATTGGCCAAGATGACACAGTACTTGGGGAAAGGGAAAACAGAGAGCATCAGAGCAGAACTGTCATATTAATTTCCCATCAGGGTACCAGTGAGCAGTGATTAAGTACACGAACTTTGGGGCTAAGGTGCTTGTATTCAAATTAGACTTTCCCAGTGAATTGTTTTTTTGGTCCTTGAAGAAATAAGAACTTTATAATTTCTTGCACATTTTTGCAAGGTTGAAATGAGATTTTTATTCACATTTTTTCAGTATAACTGTCAATCTGTGTCAGTTATTATTCTTGAAACCATCTCCCTCATCATTGCTATGTAATAATATTCAAGAAAGGAAGTGATAATAAATGTACTAATAACCTTAAAAAACACCTAAAATTAGTTATTCAAAATTTATAACCATCCCAGTCACAGGTTTCTTTCTCCCCTCATGTCTTCTGTAACTCAGGACATGAATTGCTTATACTAATCACATGATCTGTGGTTCTTTCTATGTTGGACTTCCACTCTCAATGAATGCATTTTAATATCACAAAAAGCTTTGCAGTTTAAGTGGATCATGCTGCATGTACAATTCTGGATACACTCTGGACATTTACTGTCCTAAGGATCTGTAGGATGTTTTAAAGGAAAAAGAAATCAAGAGACATAGAATGCTAACCAGTCAAAAGAGAGAGAGGAGGGGAGGTCAAGACCATGAAGGGAAAATCTACAGAGACAGCTGAACCAAGCTCGTGGGAGCTCATGAGCTCTGGATAGACATCTGGGGAGCCTCCATGGGGCTGAACTAGGTCCTCTGCATGTGGGAAACAGTTGTGTAGCTTGCTCTGTCTGATGGACTCCTGGCAGTGGGGTCAGGATCTACCCCTGGTGCATGAGGTGGCTTGTGGGAGCCCATTCCCTATGGTGGGATGCCATGCTCAGCCTTCATGCAGTGGGGAGGGTCTCTGTCCTGCCTCAAGCTAATGTGCTGGGCTTTGTTGACTCCCCATGGGAACCCTTACCCTTTGGGAGGAGTAGATAGGAGGTGGACTTGGGAGGTGGTGGGGGACTTGGGAGGAGGGGTGGGAGGGAGAACTGTGGTTGGGATGTAAAATAAAATAAAAACAAGAATCCTGAGTAAGAGAGCAAGGAGCCTAAAGTGATTGATTATTCAAGCGGACAAGCAGCAATTGAAGAGGCAAGGGTGACTCCCATGGACGGGAGGAGCAGCAAAGTAAGTGATATCAAGAAAATGATGACGTTGACCTAGGAAGGGCCGTTTTGTTTCCAGCAAGAGGATAAATGACATAGCTGTATTAATCAGGGAAATTATTAAGGACAGTGTGGCATCAAAATTAAAATCCAGCTATTTCCATTTATGTTGGTTTCATTAAAATTCAGTATTACTCGTTGTCACACATTGTGAAATCTAAGTAAAAGCAGGCAATGAACCTCAAAAAATCCAACGTCATGTGTTTCTATTTTGGCAAAATTAATGATAAACAAAGACAAAGTTTTAGAAATTACACATGTATCTCAAAAATCCAACTCTTTCCTCTTCATTTCAAGTTTTCAAAAGTTTAACCTAAGAATGTACATATTTTAAAGCCATAGGAAAAAAAACAAAGAATTCAATATCACCTCATTTCTTTTTGAGTGATCATTAATAAATTTATTTTGGATCATAATACATCCATATCTAGTTATAATGATTTATAACTGAAAAGTTATTGCTACTTTTTCCTAGAACTATTTAATAAACACTGCAAACATTCAGGGTAAAGTATTGACCTGGTATCTGAGGAGTAATGAGGGTTCCATGGATGAACTTCATTCATTTCAGTCAGTCTGTCACCACTTTGAAGCTGAAGGAACATTAGTGCAGGCTTTTCTAGACTATGGGAATATTAATACTTCTAAAATGTAGTCTTGAAAGCTTTTCAGTAAGATGGTCCTTCTGTCTAGTTGTCTCTGAGTGCAATTATTTCCTTGAAAAATGATATTTCTATGTTTTTTCATGGTTGTAGTTAACCTCGTTAAAGATTTTTCCTTCTATTGCCTTCTGTAGAACTGGATTTGTAGACAGATATTAATTGCATTTGACTTCATCATGGATATCTTATTTCCTTCATCTATTGTGATTGAAAGTTATTCTGGGTATAGTAGTCTGGGCTGTGATCTCTTAGGGTCTGCAGCACATCTCTCCAGGCCCTTCTGGCTTTTAGAGTCTCCGTTGAGAAGCTGGGTGTAATTCTCAAAGGTCTGCCTTTATGTTATTAGGTTGTTTAGAGTCTCGGTTGAGAAGCTGGGTGTAATTCTCAAAGGTCTGCCTTTATGTTATTAGCTTGTTTTCCCTTGTAGCCTTTAATATTCTTTGTTTTGTATGTGTAGTGTTTTGATTACTATATGCTAAGGGGACTTACTTTTCCGGCACTCTATTTGGTGTCCTTGTACTTTATAGGCATCTCCTTCTTTAGGTTAGGAAATTTTTCTTCTATGATTCTGTTGAAGATATTTTCTGTGCCTTTGACCTGCATTTCTTCTCCTTCTGTTCCTGTTATTCTTAGACCTGGTATTTTCATAGTGTCCCAGATTTCCTCAGACACTGTCAGGAGTTTCTTAGATTTAACTTTTTCTTTGACTGGTGCATCCTTTTCCTCTATCATATCTTCATTGCCTGAGATTCCCTCTTCCATCTCTTGTACTGTGCTGCTGAAGCCTGCCTCTGTAGTCAGTGTTCAAATTTCTACATTTTTTTCAATTCCAGAATTCACTCAGTTTGGATTGTCTTTACCGATTTTCCTTTGGCCTTTGAGAGAAGACGATTGCTGTGTGTTGTCCGACAGGAAATTTTCCATGAACCTGATAGGTGTGGCTACAGGGATTTCCAGATGAAATTTGTTTCTGGATATTGGAAGCTGATTCATGTGGATGGGTGGAGGCTAGAAGTTAGAAGGGGTTCCCTGGAGGGCAGAGTGTACAACCAGTGTGTCATTAATTAGTCTTTTTTGGAAAGGGATTAGATAATGAAGAGAAGTTACCCCAGAAATGTTGCCAAAGCACTGGGAATGAGACTAGGGAGTTGGATCTGGAGGAGCAGGGGGAGAGGGGAAGATCTACAGTCTACATTCTTTGCTTCCCTAGCAGGAGTGGCCAGTGGGTTAGCAGGGGCTGCCTGCTGGTTTTGGGGAGTGGAATAAAGCAACAAGTAGGGGTTAGGAGTTAGGGGTTAAGCCTGTGTGATTCACAGGAGTCGTGGGGAGAGGGTAGGACGGCTGCAGCAGGTTCTGTTGCAGATCTAGAGACCAGAAAAATCAAAAGAAGAGAAACACACACACACAGACACACACACACGAGCACAACAACAATAGTGAAAAAACAGGAATTATTAATATTTGGTTATTAATATCTCTCAGTATTAATGGCCTCAATTTCCAAATTAAAAAGACGCAGACTAGCAGAATGGTTGTGGAAACAAAATCTATCCTTCTACTTCGTCCAAGAAACATGCATCAACATCAATTATAGATATTTCCTCAAGGTAAATAGATGGAGAAAGATATTCCATGCAAATGAATCTAAGAAGCAAGCTGGAGTAGCCATTTTAATATATAATAAAATAGACTTCATGCAAAACCCGATTAGAAAAAAGACAGGCCAATATGCGTTTCAGTTCTTAACTTTTATGCTCCAAACCAAATGCCACCTATGTTTCTAAAAGAAACACTACTACAGTTTAAATCACTTATAAAGCCTCATCTTGGTGACGGGAGGCTTCAATACCCCACTATAACCAGTAGACTGATCATGAAGATAAAAACTAAACAGAATTGTTGGGCGCTAAAGAACATCATAAACCTAAGGGACCTAAAAGATAGTTATAGACAATTTCACTGAAACACAAAAGACAATACTGTCATCTCTCCAACTCATAGAACTTTCTCAAATTGACCACATACTCTATCACAAAGCAGCTTAACCCAGGACCTCACCCACACTTGTAGTAATTGTTTTGTGAATCAAGTGCTCACATTTGGTGCCTCTATGATTAGAATTGTAATGTTCTCTTGGTGGATTGTCTCTTGATCAGAATGAAGTGACATACTTCATTTGTTTAATTTTGAAGCCTATTTTATCTTATATTGCAATATTGACACCTGTTTGTTTTCTGGTCTCCATTTGCTTGGAATATTTTTCTATCCTTTCACTTTAAGGGGATGTCTATTCTTGGAAGTAAAGTATTTTTCTTGTAGACAGCAAAAAATGATGAATCTTACTTTCTAATCCAATTCATTATTCATTATCCCGTGTCTTTTGACTGTGGAATGAGACATTTGACATCCAGATTTATTATTGGGAGGTATATGGTAATTTATGTAACTATAAATTTTGTGGCATTTTTACTTAGCACTATTTTGTATAACAGCTATCTTAGCATCACTGAATTTTATTTCTCTGTACTGTCATACATTGATTCTCTTTTGCTTTAGTCAGAAATATTCTTTCTAGTGTTGTCTGTAGGACTGACTTGGTCATCATTAATTCTGTTAGCCTGGTTTTATCATAGGAGGTATTCTCTTCCTTCTCAACCATGATATGTAATTTCATTCACTTTAAGACATATTTTTAAACATATCTCAGCCATACATTTCTGTTAAAATATGAAGAGAACAGAGACTCCATTTACATAATTAGTTCAATATTTTTATGTTGTATTTTCATTGGTTTTCTAATTTTCTCATTATTAGTCTTGCTCAGTTCCCTCCATAATATCTCACATGAAACAAATTAATAGATGGGACATTACATAAGTCTAATTACAAAATAATAGTTGGCATTTTTCTTTTATTTAAAAAATTAATATATTTACTCTGTGTTATCTTGTAGTATAAACAACAAGAGAGAAGAATGTGAGTTGTCAGATTGCTTCTGCACACATCTAACAGCCAGAGATACATTTACAGGTAAGTACACAGGCAAGCATTTAAAGAATGAAGCTAATCGGGAGGCAGACCTCTGACGCAACAATGAAACTGTATCAGATTATAACAACCATCCCTCATTCCCACTTGTTCTTTTGTACCAAGTCAATCAAATAGAACAGAATGGAAACATTTCTCAAGAAGAATCATAGTTTAACAACAATAACAGGTGCATGGTTCTCAAACAAAAACACACATGCCAGTGGAAGAAACAAACCAGGCACTGTATCTGTATGAACTGCTACTACACCTTATTAAGTAAATTCTGGCTTTTTAGCAAGTGTAATTTTAGATTTTGACTAGCATGTAATTTACATAAATTTACGTGCATGATTTTTACATTTCCTACAGGTGCATCTGGCTCTTTCACACATGAACTACTAATGAAGACAACACCTTGTAGGAGATCTATGTCACCTTTCAGGTGGTTCTGATGCAGGCCAAAAGTTGAAAACCATGATGCTTTTCTGAGCTAAATCTCCAGAATATTTAGCTTAAATATTTCCATGTAGCCTAAATGTATGTGAAGGCTACAATTACCTACTATATTATTAAGACAATACTGTACAAACAAAAACAACTGGGAGACATAAATATCAAGTCTCCTTTCCCAAAAGTCACTATAAACTTACTTTGAAGTACAATCCTAAGTAATAAATTATTTTAACCTGAAATGCTTTAATGGGAGATATAAAAAGGAAAGTCTTAAAGATTCTGTACTGGCTTCTAATTAAAATAGGAAACCTATCACATAATGTAATACAAGTAGGTGTACAGCATATTAACTTAAGGTATTAAAGAGTTTACCGTAATGTCAATGAAACCCACATACACCAAAGAACTAATGCCTCCTTTTAATTACATATCTCTACTTGCTTTGCATTCTTTTGAATCCAAAATAGTTTTTGACTTTCTTTTTCCTTTGTGTTTTTGTTTGAGTCTGGGTCTTATTTTGTTTCCTGAGCTTACCTCAAACCTGGGATGCCTCTGTTTCGTGAATGCTGAATTACAGTGCTGAACAACCTATATGTAGTCATAAAGTTTGAAGATCCCCCATGGAAGGTCTGGCCTTCCATGGGGAGTAGAAAGGGGATGGGATAGGGAGTCAGTGGGGGGCAGGCGAGGAGGGGAGGGAGAGTGAACTGGGATTGACATGTAAAACAAGCTTATTTCTAATTTAAATAAAAACAGAAAAACAAAACATAATAGTAATTAAAATATTACCACCAACTTTAAATAAAACTACTATGATCCAGAAATAAAAATGGAGAAATCATTCATACTTTCTGCCAAAATCTAGAATAAAGTATGACACTGTCACACCAAGAACCATCAGAAATACCTGGTGTATAAATAAAGAGAATATCATATTTATATATTCTTAACAATCACGTAAACCTCTCAAAATAAACAAAATCAGACAAACCATTCAGTTTAAGGAAGGCTTCCAAATAATTAAGCTGTTGCATTTTAGAAAGCATTATTAAATACTTTTTGTTACTTACATTAGAAATCTTTATCATGTTAAAGTATTTGTTTTAAATGTTTGCTTGCTAACTGCATAATAGAAACATTACAATGTTAAAAAATCTCAAATATTTTGAACATTTTTAAATACAAAAATACAATTTAAAAATTAAGTTGAGTAGAAAACTTTCAAGTCAACGCTTGTAGCCTGGAACAACACTGTGAAGGTGAAATAGTTTCATGTTTTTACTATTATAAGTAATATGGATTCTGAAGGAATTTCCCTTTTCTCATAATACAATAAAATGTTTTGTTGCTTTTAATTAAATGAATAAAGTATTGGTTTTACTATCATCAGTGAGTTATAATTTCTTTGTCTTAATCATTATTCACTTTGAATATTTCTGTACTTGCTGTTTAAGTTTATGCATTTGAACTCTGGTTCTATGGAATTTGCATTTAGTTTGCTATTGTCCTGAGAGAAAAAGACACATTGAAAATATCATAAAAAGAAATGCTAACATAAACTCTTGCTTTATAGATTCAAGTAATTAATTTTAGCTTTGTAAGAAGTATGCTGGGTCATTGACTCTTGTTTTCAGTTTCTAAAGTTCTGGTTACTGTAAAGTTTTGAATATTTTGATATTAAAAGATGTAAGTGGATTTTGAGTGTGAAGAAGACTCACTCCCGAGAAAGCAGGAAGGGCAGTCCTCACCCCCCCCCCCGGTCTCTTCTGCATCTTGTTCTGGTGGAGTAGAAGTGTACTGTGGAGAGGCCAGAGAGGACTAACACCTGGGGGTCCAAGGCTTTCTACCGTCTGCTCATGTTCAACTACAGGAGGCTGCACATAGCTAGCCATCTAAACTGTGTTACTATTCGTCCTGACAGGATGGGCTCTGTGTGTGTAACAGACCTAGTATTTCCAGACGTCCGTACAGTCTGAGCTTCCTGAGTAAATACCATTGGCAATCTTGGGTAAAGAATGAGAGAAGTGTAAATTAGAATAGACACTGACTATGATAAAGAATTTGAGGAGAATGTATAGATATCTTCCTCTTATAGTTATCTGTTAATGTTGTTGGTGGGTGTAACTACTTGGAGGGGACCATACTGTTGTATTTCCATTAGAGAGCAAGGATTTCTCCTTTGGGTACTATCTCTATTATAGTCCCAGTAAAGGCTCTAAAATTCAGAATTTTAGGTCTTCTCTGACGTTCTTCCTCCCTTAAATGCACCATGGCACATGGCTTTCTCATATTGCCCCTTTATTAGCCAACTTTATTCACTGACATGACAAAATACCCCATCAGAAGAATTTAAAGAGAGGAGAGGTTTTTCCTGCCCCATACTTTGAGACTGTAGTCTCCCATGGTAAGGAAGATGTGGTGGACAAGCAGGTCTCACTATGGCAACGTAGTATAAGGCAGTCTGTTGCCTTGTGTCCATGGTCAGGATGCAAACAACAACAACAAAAAAGACAACAGCAGTGGTGTTCTGTTCATGTTTTCCTTTTTTATTCAGTTTGGGATCATTGAATGTCATCACTTGCATTCAAAATGACTCACCCTATCTCAGTTAAGCCTGTCTGATAATGCAGGTATACCCAGATGTTTGTCTCCTAGTAGATTCTAAATTCTATCAAGTTGCTAATCAAGATTAATTGTCAGAGCTTCCAAATAAAGCTGATACACAGGCACCAGCACTCAGGTCAGTACTGAAAGTTACAGGATTTTAGATCACCTTCTTAACCAATAACTGGACTGTATCACATCTTGAAGCATAACAACCTGTTTCATTAGGATGGCTGTAGTCTTATTAAAACACTTTCCTGAGAGAGCCTGACATTTCCGGGACAATCAGTTTGTTCTGAGCAACATCCTGTATGAGTCTGTGTCCTCCCTTTCTTTCAAAGAGGCTTGAGATTTGAAAGTGTTTCTCTTATAACTGAAAATCATCCTTCTCAAGAACTTGAAATCCACTCTCTGAAATATAAATATAAATATGACCATGCGGCACTGGGAATGACTCAGTAGGTAAGTCACTCGCCTTTCAAGTGTAAGCCCCTGAGACTGAATTCCCAGACGTAACCTCAGTCATTCTCTTGTGAGCGGAGAGACAGACAGAGGAGAACCTTCAGACATCCGCAGGGCAGTTAGTCTGGCATACGCTTTAACCAGAGGGACCTTGCCTCAATCAAGGTAGAAGGGAAGTCTGATACCCATGGCTGTCCCCTGGCCTCCAAATGCACGCTGTGGGATATGTACACTCCCTCTTACACAAGCAAAATAGGTAAGCATACACCACGCACGTGTACATACACTGGAATTGCTAAAAGAGAAAGAAATGTAATTGCCAGGAATGATTAGGACTCCCAATTTGTCTCTGTGGGAGGATAAAATTGCAGCTTTACACCTTCCACCTATTAAACACAGTGACCTGATTGCAAGTACAGTCATTCGACCGAGTCTGAACTCACACCTTTTCCAGTTCTCCCTTTAAAACACCCAATAAACTCTATGCAAATTGGAATTAAGCCAGATCCTTATTTGATGATACATGAGTAGCTATTGATTTTGTCATTTTTAACTACTGTTGTTAGACTTTATGTTTCTTTTGGCACAATGTAAGTAAACAATCACTTTGAGTCTTAACCAGACATTTTCTGTTTATGGTCAGGATAAATTAAACATCTATATAATTTGTTTCAGTCTTACTCTATCCAAGCAAAAAGACCATCGACCTTTCCTGCTGTACGCTATTGAGCCTATGAAGAATCCCATTGCTAATATTTCAGAAAAAAACATTAATTTTGATCAGGTATAGATTACCACTGAAAATTACCCATTACAGAACCATAAAATAATTATCCATGAACCACTAATGACTACAGAAAATTTCAAAAGATTTACTGCTTAAAATGTGATCCAGATAGATCACTGTGAGAACAAAACAAGAAAGCCAATAAAATAAAGATGGTCACATTTTTTTAAAAAAATTGCTGGTTCCATTTAACCCACATGCCAAAAAGAAGCTAGAAAAGATTTTAGAATGCCGCCTACTTTGATGAATAATACCAGAGTTCATAAAATGTAATCAACGATATAATTAGAAAGTTTTAACTATAATGACTTACAAAGAAAAGACAAAGATTAATGAGTTAAAGTCTAACTACGACGCCAAGAAAAAAGAACCAAATAATCTCCACAAGTATAAAAAAAGAAAGAGCAGAGCAGAAATTACTTACATAGAAAGTTAAAATGAGTAAGCAATAAATCTAAAAGTTATGTTGGAAAATAACTGACAATTATGATACTATGGAATTATTGACCAAGGAAAAGAGAAGACACTTTTTAATACCAAAGAGGAATATATTTATAAATATGGCCAGTTCAACTTGAATACTGTCTATAAAGACTTTAGATCAGTAAATCAATTATTTAAAATATTTCTCAAAGGAAAAGTCTTTAATAAAGACTGATATTACATGAACAGAACATTCCGGTAAGAGAAAGAGTACAATTTTGTACTTTCTTTTACAAAATGGGTATAATCATGATACAGAAACTGCACATGGACACTGGAACACAAGAATATAATAACTATATTATGAGTATGTGACCTTGACTAGTTTATCTCTGGAATGAAATCATCTTTTAAGAGCTGAAATTTTGTAGAGAAAAGGTCATGATTGAGAACCAGACCCAAACAGGGAACTTCATAATGGAAGAATGGTCCAGAAAGCATCTGCCATAGTTGGATAGCTTCCCTCGTATCTCTCTTTTGTTCTGCCTGCTGTGGATTGACAGTCACTGCCCATATGTGTAAACTGTACCCCCAAGGTCCAGTTTAATGACTCAGAGGTGCCTTTAATCACCACCACTACCTCTTAGCATCACTCCATTCCAGTCCAAACCTGAGTGGTGGATGGAATGGCAGCATGGCCATTCAAGATTAACCACCACCCGTTGCCACAGAAATGCTGCTCTTACACAGCCTTTGCTTAGAACTGGACATTGGCCAAGCAGAGCTGTCCTTTATGTGACAGGAAATACATGGCAAGAGTTACACGGTGGGCCACCCTAACCGTTTATGAATTGTCGATGTCAGTGTCTGTGCTACTTGTGTTATGTTCAGGAAGCCATCTCCTCTACCGATTCTTTCAAAGGTATTTCGCACAGTCTCTTCTAAGAGGTTCAGTGTGGCTGGATTTATGTTGAGGTCTTTGATCCATTTGGACTTAAGTTTTGTGCATGGTGACGCCCTAACCCAATCAGATAGCATAGCAATAATCCCTAGCACAGCTCATTGTTTGATGGAGGTGGGTCTCACGGCATCATGCTTACAGCGCTCTTGAAGTCTACCAAATAAACTTACCATTGCGTACTCTCGTCCAATTGGTGAATTCTTTCACCGGTATGCAAATCTCCCCAGATTTGGTGGCCCACACAAATAGTAGGAACTTTGTCTCTTTGCTTCCATTTGTTTTCCCTCCCTCATGTAGACTTATAGGTACCTGAAGGTTTCTGGTTGGGGAAATCTTGCTGTAGCCAGAAAGTCTTT